CGTCCCAAGCTGATTTGTGCTTAATAAGCGGCTGGGCCTATTAACCGTGGGCCTAATAACCAGCGACTACTGTAGTACTTTGTTTACTGCAGTTTCTCTGCTTTGGACGCCCAAGGAACGCGTTAGTTACCCTTATTGTTACTACCAAAAGTCGATGAATTCGTCTGGTGCCTTAGGATGCTTGTGCTTTTGTGCTTTTGCCGGCCTTATGACAGGAGCTTCTGAACGTGACTCCGATTATATTTTTTGCCTGTAGTAGATTACCTATCCCATGAAATGTCAACCTAAATTCCGAAAATTTGTTTTCGATTTGAAGAAATTACGTAAGTAGGGTTCAGTTCAGTTTATTTGAGGGTTATATGTGTGGGTACCTCTTAACTCCCTATTTGTGTACACGTGAGTTGTGATCTCAAAAAAGTAGTATCTCAGTTTATTGCCGATGCCAAATGACGCGAGTCAATAAAGTGGATCAAAGGAAAAAATAGCAGACAGTAAAAAAATCCTTGAGATCTATAGGAGATAAATTGGTTGCCCATGGAGGGGAGGGTTAACACGCTAGGTCGAAACGGGGGGAGGATATTGATTATCGTGCAGCCTCATCTAAAGATACTTCACTCGGTAGAAGTACCTACTGGGGTCGCAGAAGGGTCCTTATGTATTATAACCACCTACTTACACATTTTAAGTAAGTGGAATTACCCACAATCTTCGTGTTTTCTGCACGCCGGCCTTCGACCCCGTAGGAAGGGGTTTGATGGCATTGAACTACGGAAGGGTCCTCGGAAGGCCACTGCATACAATAATCGCTTAGGTCAGTATATTAAAAAAAATGGTTTTTAGAATTAGCCACGGGAATTATCGCTTGCTTACAACTTTTAAGTAGGGCGAGTTTCCACCATCTTCCAAATTCTGCCGTCGTTAGCCTTTATTCCAGTTGGGGTTAGTGGTACTACTAGAAAATGTACCCCAATGACCTTACCCGAGGTCAGGGCACATTCCCCCCACATACCCGCGCTTGCCGTTGGTCCGGTGGGGGCTATGGATGACATTAAAGCGTATTTCAGCGTCCCCGCCCGAGGTTTTAGAACGCGCCGTAACTTACCCTCGTAACTTTTTTAGTTTAGAGGATTATTGCGAACTTATTTGTTCCCTGACATGCCCCACCTGTCCTCTCCCCTAAAATCAGGAGCCCGAAAGACCGAGGGGTGCACTTCGCGCGCCCCCCAGGCGGCCCCACGAGGTACTCCTATCATTTTAACTACTGTCATTACACAGAAAACCAGCAACAGAACTATTCTTGCTTACAGTCATTAATGAGCGTTCACCGATCGCTAACGAAACTCACGCCTCCCGCTCTGTCTCGAGCCCCCCAGCAGCCGCATAGCAGCTAGTAGCCAAGGCAGATAGCATTGCCGACAAAGGCAAGGGAGACTGGAATGGTCATTTCTGGCTCATTAGCCATCGAGAAGAAGAAGAAGATGCGATCGCTGGGCCAAGACTTTTATTTCTCCGTCGCAAATCCTAGAAAGTCAACGGGTAAAATGTTGTGACCTCTTTTCAAAACTGCCCAGGGCAGCGATACTGCCGCCCATATATTCAGTTTTCAGACTTATTTTTCATGGAGAATTTACGATTCTTCCTTTCGTGACATTTCAGATCACGCGTACAGTTGCTGTCAATACGGATGAAGAGGACATCGTGAGTTACAACGAAATCTATCGCCTTCTAGAGCCTGTTCGCACGGGCCAGACGCGCTCCATATTTCTTTTTGTGACGCGCAAGTACTCGGAGCACATCATTGATGTTGCAAGTAGGATGGGTCTCTTTGGCAAGGAGTGGGCCTGGGTTTTCTCAGAGCAGTGTGTAGGTGCGAAAAATCTTCCACAAGGTACGTGTCGCTTCTCCTGCTTTAGGTTAAAAGATTGGTGTGTATAGTGTTACTAAGTGAATATTAGTAGCAGTTTTTTTAATTAAGGGTCTTC